GCATTGTGTTGTGTGATAAAGCTTCACATTTTACATTTGCCTTTTATTATTACCAGAACAAGCACCACCTGTGTGGTAATCATGCTGCTTAATCAGAATCTTAATATGCCATATCTGTGAGGGAGATGAATGCAAAGTCACCTACAAACACATTTGCACTCAACATTTGAAGAAAATATATATTTTATTTCTGAAAAGATTAGACTTTTGTCAAATTGGAGGGGAAAAAATTAATTCTGCCTTCTTTTTTGTTCTTTCCTGTTTGGGAAGTCATGGTGCCATACCTGTGTGTCCTGTCTAACTTGATGACGTTACTTATTTTTGTGTCCACTGTCCACTCCAGTACTTATTATGTGCTGAGTCCAAATCCCAACTAAATCTGGATAAATTAGGATTTCCTAGAGTTTTTTTATTGTCAACAAATCTTGTTATAAAACGAACAATGTGTTGGTCCATCTCAACACTTTCTGACCTCCTTACCCTGTGTTAAATATATGTCGTTACTCAAACAGGGGGGAATTAATTTAATTTAGGACTATTTTTCAAGTCATATTGCACTTACCACCGTTTTTGAAAAACAGTGGCCTCTCCATGCCATTTCACACATCGAACACAAATGCATTACTTGAAGTGTGACCAGAGAAGCATGTGATCTCATGGGACCACGAGAATCCCGCTCCCATGCAAGGTACGGCGTATTAAAGTTCTACTCAAAATATGTGTTTTCTGCATGGTTTTTTAAAAGAGCTTGGCAATGGCAATGGAGCTCTCTGGTATGGAGGAAGAACATATAACAGGATTGGAGTGGTTTTCGACAATGCAAAGAATACCATTTTATTAACATGCACATTTTTAGGTTCATATTTGCATGTTGTGCCTCTACTGTGCTATGTTTACATTCCTTAATGTTCAAAAAGGGGGGAGGATGATTTCTCAATGAAAACATCCTCCTCTCTGTCATGAACCTTGGAGTGACCTTCACTAGCACTTTTAAATTCGACAAGCAGGTCAGCACCGTAGTCAACTCCTGCTTTTTTAAAATAAGACTTGGCCAAGACCAAGTCGTTTTTATCTTTTAAAGACTTAGAAAGGGTTATTAATGCCTTTGTTACCTCGAGACTGGACTATTGCAACGCTCTGTATGTGGGTATGGAACAGGCCTCAATTAGACGCCTGCAGCTAGTCCAAAACGCAGCTGCACGTCTTCTGACTGACCACATCACCCCAATTCTGGCCTCTCTGCACTGGCTTCCAATTCGGTTCAGAATTGATTTTAAACTCCTTTTATTTGTTTTTAAAGCCCTAAATGGGCTGGCTCCGGCCTATGTAGCCGAACTCCTCCATCGCTACACCCCAGCCTGAGCCTTAAGGTCGGCTGACCAGCTGCTGCTGGTGGTGCCCAAGACCAGGCTTAAAACCTGAGGGCACCGAGCCTTCGCAGCAGCTGGCCCCAGGCTCTGGAATAGTCTGCCCCTCCATGTGAGACCCTATAGGGGTTTTTAAATCCTCACTAAAAACACACTTCTTCTCCCTGGCCTTCTAGTCAGAGCGGAGCATGACTCCTGACTATTCACTGTGTTTTTTATATTTCTGTTGTAAATGATTGTCTTTTATTGTGATTGTAGTAATGTGTTTTTATTACATGTACAGCACTTTGGCCCGACCAAAAATCGCTTTTAAATGTGATATATAAATAAAACTTGATTTGATTTGATTTTGATTTGAAAAAGGTCTTTTTTTCTCATACTGCCTGTGCTACAGCACCTCTTTTCACCCTCTGTCTGAAACCAGAGCCCAGTCTGCTCTGATTTGTCAGCTAGCCGGCTCTGTTGTCATTGGTCAACCGCTAGAGATGTCCTGCCCCTTAGCAAATCACGTGCAAAATGGTGGCTCACTTGCCAACAGAACAGCGAGCGTTACATAGTGATGTCACTATGTTACAGAAGAATAACAAAGGAGTCCAATGGAGGCATTTCAAGCAGAGGGGGAGTGTGTGGGAGATAAACTCCCTCTGGAGGGAACACAGGGATTGTATCCTCTGCAGACCATTTACATGCACGGAAACCTATAACACACTACAGGTGTTTCTCTTCAAGTCTGAATTAGTTATGTTTGCTCACTAGGGGGCAGACACACTTCCAAACAAACCCAGAAAAACCCAACACCATGTAGTGAAGCAAGTGTCTGCATTGCAACAGTCCTGTTCGTTGATCCTGTGGCTCTCATGCTTGATGGGATGTGAGCAGGCCCGGACAGGCCATCGGGAGGACCGGGAGGTTTCCCGATGGCCTGGCCCGCTAAGTGGCCTGCTGGCCTGAGGATTCTTTTTTTTATGTATGTATTGTGAACGCAACGCTGCGCAAATGTGGGTGGGTCTGACTCTGCCTCACAGAGGGTGACTGGCTGTCTACATGATGTGGCCTGCCGACATGGCCACTTTCATACAGATCATACACTAATGCCCTCGATTGGTCTCTGTGTGTCATTCAAGCTCGGGAGGGTGTGTGTTAGTGTATGTGTGGCGCGAGCGAGTGAGATAAAGCGTGCGCACTGGTTACGTGTATTGTTGTTGTTAGCATCTGGTGCTAGCTAGCTGCGCTAACGTATATAAGGAGCTGTTTCAACAACAAGGTGGAGGGAGAGTCCTCTCCAGTCAGACTTAGAGACTGATAACCTTAGCTCAGGTGAGGTAAAGGACTCTGAGTGTTTAGATAGTTCACTTAGTCTAAGTTCTCTGTGGGTCTCAAACGGTTTGGTCACCATTTATGTAAACACATATTTCCATTTGAGGGGGGAGTGATTAGCAAAATATGCATGAATAATTAAAAAAAAACGTTAACTAGGTGAAAAAAGGTAAGATAAACTATTAAAACTTGTTGAGAGCTAGAACTAGTCTTTGCTTCTGCCTCAAAGAGGAGCAGGGGGGAGACAGGAGAGGCTGGTTCAGGAGCACAGACACCACTCACAACTATAAATGAACCAAAAACAAATACATTTCAATTTATTTATTTTTAAGTTTCAATGTTTTTTCATATTGGATATGGTATGTTATTGGCTATGGCCATGTACTTATGATTTTATGATTATTTAAATGTATACAGTTCTGTTTCATATAGGTGTAGTCTCTCTCTTTATTTCCCCCTCAAAGTGCACCAGATTGATGCATTTAAGTCCAACATTTAAAAAAAAATCTTACCGGGGAGCATGCCCCCGGACCCCCCTATAGGATTTGAGGTCCACCTCCACTTAAAATATGTTCACATAGGTTCCTAAATAAATGTGCACATTTTTAAAAATAGTAACCCATGTCCATATGTTTATTTTTGAGTAGTAGATTTAGAGGGCTATCACTACGGGCAGCAATGCTGTAACAATTGACAAATAAATCCAGAAAAATGGCACAAAAAACTGGTAGTGGCCTGGCTGGGTGTATAATTCCCGGCCTGACTTATTGTCCCAGTCCGGCCCTGGATGTGAGTGTAACCAGTGCACACACTCTTGGCATGTATATCCTCGGTCTGTGGCCCAACAAATATGTTATTGCTGTGCACTTGTCCGAAATTCCTCAAGTTATGCAAGGTTCAAGATACAAAAACAGATGCTTGGACCAGGCAAAAAGGGCCAAGGTTGTTTAGCAAAATTCGATGTATTTTACAATGCTGATTTAGTGCCATTGGTGACGATGGAACTTGATAAGTGAAATCAAATCTTCAGTTAAAGAAGCTCTGACATATGAGGAGGCTTGGGTGGCGTCACCAATGACATCATCACAACTGTGTCTATTTCTGTGCAGCTTTGTTTCTTCAGCTTTTGTTTCTCCATTACAATCCCTTCTCTTTCTCCCTGCCTCTCCATATATGGGCTTGGTTTATCTTGTCTATATAAACTCTTGTCTAACTTGTTATCCTTGCTCTCCCTCCTATCCTCCTTATCAAAAACTCCTTGAAATATGTCGTTAATCTTCACTGTTCCAGAGTCAAACTGATTTCTGCCAAGACCCCTGACGTGCCAAGTATGCTGCAACAGAAGGTAGCCAAGTCTTTGCAGAAAAATACTTTTTTGTATGAGTTCTATATCAGTACAGTACCAAATCTTCTAATCAAATTATATTTGGATCTTTCTTTTGATTTAATACGCAAAGGAAGATGTCTCAGTCCGCAAATACCTGCCGTCTTTATGTTCCGTATGCAAAGGCAAGACCTTGGTGGGACCTGAGTTGATTAGAAGGAGTTCATTTTGTGGCATGTAAAACCAATGGGGGGGTTAGTTGTAAACGCTGTCTGCAGCCTGAGCTCATGTCTGAGACCTTGCCTGAAAGACATGAATAGAGGGGAGAGGTAAAAAGGAAAAAGGAGGGGCTGGAAGGGGGTCTAAGAGAAACAGGACTCAGGGTAAGGGATTGATGGTATGGTAAAGTAGGAAAAGGAAGAACACCTGGAAGGCTTGTCTGGGGCAAAATGCCTAGGACAACAAGACTGTCTCAATACTGGTTTCTGTCTAAAGAGAGAAAATAAAGACCTGGGACGAAGAAGAAGAAAACAAATGTAGAGAAAAGAGGGAATGTAGAGCGTAAATACAAAGAAGGGGAGGGGTGTTTTTGGAGGCGTGTCAAGAATTTGCCTTTTAAGGGGTACAGTCACTCTTCCAAGCCTTGTGAGCTCTGGGTTAGCAGCCAAAACACTCTAGGGAGAAGAGATAAACAACAGCAAAGAGGCTGTGAGGACCAGAAACATGAGCGATGCTAATGTTTTTAGAAATGCTATAAATTCTCTTTATGTGCTCCTTTACAATCCAGGCAGAAAACCAATATACCAATATGCAGCTTACATTCCTTTATACATCATTTTTTATGTTAGGTAAATTCTGTGGTGTAAGGGACCGGATTGAAACACACTTGTAAACAAGAGAAGGCTCAGTCCATTCTGAATCACCGCAGCATTCCAACAGCTGCCCTCACTGTTTGGTTTTCTTGGTTGTTTTCTACAATACCAACAATGTATTGGCCGAGCTAAAAACAGGGGCTGCCTGTATCTGGGAGCAGGAAACTGCCGAGGAGGAGAGGGTGGATGGGTGGGGGTGAGAACAGAGAGGTAATTGTATATGTAAGAGTGAGGCAACCCTAGAAGAGAGGTAGAAGCAGGAGAGAGGAGGAAGGGAGAGACGCTGTTCTTGGGATGGGAGGACTGGGACAGGGGAAGAGAAGCAAGAAGAAAGAAGCAATGAAGGAGAGTGCAGAGATGTATTGAGTGGTATCGTCTGCTCAAAAACAGATAGAAATTAGTGCCTAGGAAAGTTTGGGTGTGTGAAACAAAGAAGAGAGGGGGTGGAGGCAAAATCCACATGTGAGTGCAGCAAGTTGGAAAGAGAGGTAAAAGTGTGTGGAGAAGGGAGGAAGGGAAACAGCAAGAGCATGCAGAGTGTATCCTTCCCTCTGTCCCCGTAGCAAGAGCCAGGAAAAGGGGAAGGTCCTCCCTGTCCTCTCTCTGCAGCTGACAAAAACATCTGCCCAGAAGCCCGGGGCCGGACAGAGCGGGAGAGAGGACAGAAGAGAGGAGGAGGTTTAAAAAAAAAAAAAGGTCCAGCGGCCAGGAGCCGGTCACCTATATGGGTTGCGTCCTGAGTTCAGACTGGTGTGGGGAGGAAGAGGTGCAACCAGTGGTGGCTGTTGGCAGGAACCCATCTCTGAAGAGAAGGAGTCTGGAGAGGAGTGAGAGCGCCAGGATGAGGCTGACAAAGGTCAGTGTGCACGCAGTGTTTACATGAGTGTGTGGTGACATTTTAAATAAACATGGTCCCTGTAATGGGGCAGGAATCTGTTGATATGCACGTGCGCGGTGACTGTGATTACAGTTAATATGACGCAGGTTGCAATTTCTTGGCTGAGTGAGAATACATTATTTGGGATTATATGTAAGATTTATGCACAATAATACACAATGACTATATTTAATTTAGGCCTTTATATTATTGGCATGATTCTTTTTTATTATAGAGCCCTTTGCTATTCCTGGTTTTCCACATATAATAATAATAGCTTCATAAACCCATTTTCCAAAAGACTATCTTGAGTATGATGATGAAAAATGCCATGACCTGTGTTGTGATTGGATTAAAGTACTGGCATCTGTTTTGAACATTATTTTGGCTATTATCTAACAGAACAGCTTCATAAATAAATCCCAATAAAAAGCCACATTTTGCCAAAGTCAAAGTTATGATACTGGAAAACTAGAGGAACAATTGGCTTTGTGTTTATTGCATGTCTTCCATGTGAAATATCATTGCACTGACTGTGTATTCATATCATTTATATGTCTCTTAGATACCAAATATCAGATTTTTCTTGCAGTCTTTGACACGCAGAAATGTTCTTATTATACTCAATAAAGTCTTTGGGAACATGGAACTTAATTTAAAGTCACAAAAGAAGACATTTATAGTATGCTAAGAAAAATGATAAATCTGCATTCTGGGAACAACGAAATTAAATTGTCCTTGTAGTCTGTTTACAGGTGTTGTACAGTGCAACTGAACATGTGAAAAAAAGTACTTCAATCAGGAGAGACGTGATGTATGAAATACATGTTTATTACCGGACACATAATATGAAGGAATAATGATTGACGGATTACAACAAGTGAATGAAATGATGTTTGGCGATTAGGCCCCGGTTTGCAGGATGATCATTCAGGAGGGGAAAACCGCTCCGATGAACCCCCCGGGGTCTAGACACTGGTGGTGGTGATAAGTAGTTCGGTCTGGTCTGGAGGGAGAAGGCGAAGGGGTGGAGGAGGGTTGTGCGTTGACACCTGAAATGACAACTGACAGAGAGGGAAGAGCAGATTTAAAGGGGTTAGCGCAGTGGTTCTCAAACTTTTTCTGTCAGGCCCCCCCTTTGGAGAAAAAAAAAAGTCGGGCCCCCCCCAACACACATAGTCAGGCTCAGTGGCGGCGCCAGAGACTTTTTTGGGGGGTGCTGTGGGGTAGCTTGACGTTTCATAGAGGGTGCTCAAACATTTAGGGTTTCCCATTAATGTACCGGTCGCTACAGTGGAATTTTCTACTGCAACACTCTCCACACGCACATACACAGTGTTCCCGCAACTGTTACAACGAAGGCTCGATAATCAGCTCACGGCATATAGGTGTAAGCAGGGGTAACGTGCTATTTTTATAGGTGGTGTGTGGACACATTGAGAGCAAAATGAAGAGATCTATGGATACCTCTCTCAACACCCAGATGAAACGGAACTGTAAACAGATTTACTTTTTCTTTATGGATATTTTACAAATCACCCTTTTAAACTTTATTCTTTTTTTAATGTCATATAGTATTTCATACCTGTTTTTCATTTATTCTCTTATTTTTTTATAACTATAATGATCATATAAATGTGTGCCTCGGAAATAATTGTTTACATTAATGGTGACCAAAACGTTTGAGACCCACTGAGATAACAATGAGAGAGTCCTTTAGCTCACTGAGTCTCTCAGTCTGACAGGAGAGGACTCTCCTCCACTTTGTTGTTGAAAAAACTCCTTATATCCGTTAGCGTAGCTCGTTAGCTCCAGAAGCTAAGAACAACAATCTCCGGTACCGGTGCGCTCTCTCTCTCTCTCGCGCACACAAAATGGCTCGTTCCACACACACAGAGACCCAGACGTAATAGTACTGTACTGTATCATATTATTTTCGAATCAATAATTTTTCAAATTATGATTTTTTTATTTTTTTTTTATATAACCATTTTTCCTCCTGGTCTCTCGCGCCCCCCCTGGCATGCCTCTGCGCCCCCCAGGGGTGGCGCGCCCCACACTTTGAGAACCACTGGGTTAGCGGGTGTGATTGGCTAGCCGGGTAGTAAGGCCCCTGATCACTTAATGGGAGAGGAGAGAGTATTGAAATGACGTGTACCACCAGAGGATATTGGTCTTCCTGATTGAACTTGCGCTGAGCTACATTTGGATACAGACACAGCTGTGTGAAATATGAAAAATGTCCTTGAGTGATGTCACTTGACTCAGTGTTGGATGGGTCTGTTGACTTCAAGTTTGAAATAAATTGGGGTTGGGAAGTTAGCCCTGAGGCTAGCAGCTCAAAACTTTGTTTGACACTGCTAGCACCCAGAACTCAGACTGAACCGTTGACATGCAAGTTGGGTAGTGTAGGGACCAGGTATGGACAGGGGAAAAGAACACAAAAAAACACAATATCTCGGATTCTGTGGCACCAATGTTTTATACTTTTCTGAAAGTGTCAGTTCTTAATCCGTCAATGTTTTGCCAAAAAATGTAATACCATATTGATAAATTCTCATTGAACGTTTGATTATTCAGCATAATTCAGAAGTCAAAACAACAGAAGAGCATATTTAAAATGTATTTTTGGTTGATCCAAAGATATTTCCAAGCTTGATTAGAATTGAGTAAAGCCACTGGTCATGTTATATTTGTAATACCTGATGGGAAATTCCCTTTTCCTGCTGCCCTCAGGTCAAAGGTCAGCATTAGCTTAGCATCATGTGGTCAGCCAATTTCAGATCCACGTGTGATAGAAAAGTGCCACCCAAAAATAATTATTTCCTTAAATTTGATCAAATTCCAATGTGATATTAGTGTTATTCCGCTCTCATGACATGTGCAGGAGATCTGAAGAAACTTGAAGAAGTGATTGTTTATATTCTCACAAGGAGCGTGTGTGTCTTATTTGGCCCTTGATTTGAAAGATGATGTGGATGACGATGGCTTCTCCGAGCTGCTGGCACATCTGTTCAGAGACAATGGCAGTGTTGTGAAGACCACAGCACTGCTGGGGAATTACCATCATGTCAACAGAGGCAGGCTAGCTAGCTTGTCTTAAGCTGCTATTAGCCATCAAGAGAACATTGAAGACTTGTGTCCAATAGTTTACATGACATTTGATTACATACAGCTTTTAGTCTCTGTAGCTTTTTTATCCAGATGTGAGAGTGTTTGTGTTCATTTTTCTAAATGTGCATGTCTTGCATCTGGGCTTGTGTGTGTGTGTGTGTGTGTGTGTGTGTGTGTGTGTGTGTGTGTGTGTGTGTGTGTGTGTGTGTGTGTGTGTGTGTGTGTGTGTGTGTGTGTGTGTGTGTGTGTGTGTGTGTGTGTGTGTGTGTGTGTGTGTGTGTGTGTGTGTGTGTGTGTGTGTGTGTGTGTGGTTGTGTGTGTGGTTGTGTGTGTGCTTGGTTGCACCACAGTCCCAGTGGCTCAGTATCACATGTTGAACAGCGTGGGAATGAGGAGCCCTCTGGACCACGTCATCCTGACCCCAAACAGGATTGTGGGAACCAGTTAGATCCCACTCACTATCCTAAATGTCCCATCTATTTATGGTCATACTTTAATTTACTTGTTTTTCCTTTCTTGTTTTTATCATTTCATGCTTTTTTCTATGGGCCAATCGTAGGTGTTGGAAGATAAGATCTGGTTAAGTGAGAACTTAACCAGAATGTGGCTTGGCTTTACTTTGTTTTTACCCATGCATAAACCATACACATACCCAGTCAGATTCATGCCAAGTACTTACTGGAAACACTTGGCCACAGATAATGATGTTCCACATGTTGTTCACATTGCATAAAGTACTGGGTGTTATGTCAGGAACAGGGAAAGAGGATGTTTTTATCACATGTGTTTTCTTATTAAAGAATCATTTTGAGATATCTTTCCAAAATTAACTGTTTCTTTACCTACAACAGATTTGCTTCGGTTTTCAGGGTGTGGTCAAAACACATCCTTCATTTAGCCAGGAATGGTTTTGTGATTATTGGGGTTATTTTTTTAATAATAAAACTTGTAGCTAATTACTGGATTAGCCTAAACTTGGGAATTCACTTCACTGCCTTGCTGCCAAATGTTTCTTGAGAGTTGTTGATAGAGAGTAGCTGAGCAATAAATACCCTGTTCTTCTGGAACGGGTCTGCTCTCGGTTCCGAGAGTAAGAACAAAACATGGAGTAGTAGCGTTTAGCTATTATGCCCCCACAATCTGGAACAAACTGCCTGAATCATGCACGTCCGCAGAAACTCTTACTATTTTCAAATTGAGACTGAAAACATATCTTTTTGCCGCTGCTTTTAATGGAACTGCTTTTAATTGAACTGCTCATATTCACACTGCAGTTTGCTTTTTATTCATGTATTGTATAACTGTTGTGTTTATCTTATTATCTTTGCCTTTTAAATGCCTGTTGTAAAATGTCATTATATAATGTGTTTTTACTGTATTTATTCATAAATGTATTTTATTTTATTTTGTAAAGCACTTTGAATTGGCGCGTACTGAAAGGTGCTATATAAATAAACTTGCCTTGCCTTAAAATGGATTCCTCAAATAAACAGGGTCTGATGGACATACAAAAAAGTCCATATGGTTCTCTTTTGAAATATAATAAAATAAAAGAGCACAAACCCTGCAGAATGATGTTGAATTAATGTGAAATAAATCAGAGTAGACAAGCCTCAGGCAGAAGTAATGAAACTGCCAACTTGGGGTTCTGTTGTAAAAATATTTGTTCTGATCTGTCCAATTTTGTGTTATGATCACAAACACATTATACTGGCATTGAATGTTACATTTTTTAAATATCTGGCCGTCATTACAATAAACGTGTATTAAATACACCCACATAAACAAGACAAGAGTCTGGGAGTCATTAATGGAACTACTTAGCAGTTGATAATATTATGAGATGTGAAATATTAAACACAGCC